TACATTGAGATTAATTTAAAGTTATTGTAAGAATACTGTATCATATCTGTCTCTTATACACATCTGGGACTATTCTAGGCCTATAGATCCGAAGATAGTTCTAGGCGGACTCTGACCACTCATTGCTTTCCTAGGCTACAAAAGGCATAGGTCTAGGGCCTAGCATAGGCTTGTAGTAGTAGTAGTAGTTTTGGAAAATGCCTCTGGGTATTAAATAAATGTGATGATGATGATGATGGTTATGATAAACGATATATACTATGAAGTTTTCGCTACTCCTTTGTGTAGGTTACTTACCATAAACTTGAGGTACGCTTCGCATGTCAATGGCTCTGCATCTTCGTTGCAGACAGTGCATCTTGTCAATTCTGTTGACTGACCATCGTCTTCATCTTCTCTCACGCAAGAATCCATTTTTTTCTCGACTCGCGAATCGTAATCAGCAGAGAGCGATGAGAAGTTGTGTCTGACGTCTGATTAATTATTCAATAGTTATCTGACGTCATTTTAGGCTTCCTACATTCTGATTGGCTAAAAGAAACATATATTTGCTTATGTGTACTGCAGAAAAAAAATACGCCCACTGGGCAGGTCTTTTCAGGGACGGACCGCGGTGTTGTCTATCTTTACTTTAGCCGCAGTTAGCGAGCTGCTTATTTTTTGCGACTGTAAACAACAAAGTAATTTACAAGAATGGGCTTTGTGTTTTAATTTATGGCGACCAATATCAGTTTTAAGCAATTTTAAGAGTTTCAAGTTGGCAGAATTCGGAGACAATTCCTTTATTTTTTGAGCATTTGTTAAATTTATCGACCTAGGCAAGGCCTGTCTATAGGCCGACTTACCCAATCCTCAGACCCTGGAACATCTCCCGGGGAAATTCGTGTACGCGAAGTTGGGTGTAAAGTCTGTAAGCCTACTGATTAAAATGTAACTTAAATATTTTTTCTTGGTTGTGAGGTAAATAAACAGTACACTTGAAATTAAGTAACTCTTGTTTTGTTTGAAGCAACTGTACAGGAATTAGGATATAATTGCCATCTTAATTTTTTGTCACCAATGAATAGCGTCCCTATTTTTGATATTCGAATGTTGGCAGGTATGTAAATATACAGCATTTGATGGACGGACCTGTATGGGGGTGTAGGTGTACGTAAAAACATTAGAAATCATTACTTGACTACATATCCCTCTAAACTACGTTTACGTACAAAGGAACGTACACACCCGCAGGGTTCTGGTTATAAGTTAATTAGGCTTCACGTGGAGTGCCTTAAATACTTTAGAATAAGTCTCTCGATTATAATTATAAATTATTGAGCTTACACTCCCAATGATACGGTGTATCAAAACCAACAAAAATACATTAAGAAGAAGCACAAACACAATATTTGAAAGAACCTTCCTTTCATTTTTTATCTATTTATTTACACTGGGGGACTGCTCAGGGATAAAATATCTGGTCATCTGCAGATCCCAGCAAAGAAGATAACAAACAGTGAAACATTTCATTAAAGAAAAAAAAACCAAAAAAAAAAAAAAAAACCATTGAAACACAAAAAGCGGTACTACTGCCATTTATTTATTTATTTTCATAGAAAACATCTCAAAATACCATCTTTAAAAACATTATTCATAAGAAGTTACTAGATTTGTCTCTGGGTTAAAACATAACATAACTACAGGATCAATACAAATTTTTAAAAAATAAAATTAAAATAATAAGAGTCAAAAACACATAAGTATAAAAAATACAAAGCAGATACAGTAATAAATACAGTTATTGTAGAATAATAGGCCTATACATACAATAGGCATACACGCAGAATGAAATGTAACGTACTGTACGTAGTGTGTTGTAGAGGTCAAGGTTGAACGCGTTTCTGGAGACGTGAATGCGTTACAGAACCTCAATGTCACCGCATTACCTTCCGAAGCACAGCGGAAAAACCTGTAAAAAAAATCATTTTTACCATATTTTGGATAATTACCGTACTAAAAGTTGGTTTCTATTGATAAGTAGTTTTCTACTCTCGTGTGGTAATATTTTTATCATTTTTGCACCCGTGTGGTCGCGAGTGGTATTTAGTAGGACCGCGCCATGTTTACTACTGTACCTAGCAACATAAGCTAGCGTACTACTCTACTACTATATCGGTATTCCTACCAAAGTGAGGACAATTTTTTTAACTTTTATACTATGATTTTTTTGTCTCTACTAAGCTCGGCTACAGAGGACATGTCCTCAGATATGAATATTGCTGATACATGTCCTCACTTGTCATACTACTCGTCTATACTACCAATACGGGCGCTGTGTCGTGGTGACGAGTGGACGTGTTTTTAAGTGCTCTCCGCAATCTCTCAGAATTGCTCTATTTTAACCACTTACTTTACGATTTTGGTGTTCATGCTTTTTACAGTTTATATTGACTATTTCATGCTCATTATTTGGTGCTTTTTAACGTTTCTCGCTGTTGTCTTTTCGCATGATTTTTTATGTTTGTCGTGAGTACCCGTCTGTCTTGTGATTTGGATACCGTTTGTGCTGTGATTCGTCCGTGCAGTGCTGCTGGCAGGCTGTTGCTCTGTGATTCGTCTTGTTGAGGCCTAGCCTAGCCCTGGCGGCCATTTTAAATTTTCGAAAATTCCGTTCGTCTTTTTGGTGTCTCAAGCATTTTACTGTGGACCTCCTGTGCGCTGTGTATCTGCATCAAATCTTGTTTAAAGAAACTCCATGATGTCTACTACTACTATCAATATACATCGAATTATTTTTATGTTTGCTCTACTCAAAACAACAGGACATGCTATTCAGAACCTAATGGAAGAAGGCAGGCCTAACATTAACAATGTCTTGGTGGACACTCAACACATCAAGTGGGTATTACTTCCCTTTCATAGTCGTCAACTCATTATTAGAATGTGCCTATCAGAGGGAAATCGTCAGATTAAAGGAAAAGAACTATTTAGCCTAAACAAATATTTATATTACAACACTAAGTACAAATGGCCTAGTATCCTCGCATATTTCCTGCTTCTCTGCGGTGACATTGAGATCAACCCTGGCCCCATCAACACTATTGAAAGCAATAATTGTAGTAGGCCTAGTAGTAGTTCAACTACCCAATACTCATTATCCACTGCATACCTATGTGGTACTTGTAAAGAATCTGTCACCTGGGAAGACAAAGGGATAATGTGCGAAGAATGTGAAACCTGGTATCATATTGACTGCCAAAACATTAATGACGCATCTTACGTTAGACTAGGGGGTTCAAGTGTTGTCTGGACCTGTCTAGTGTGTGATGCACCACATTTTAGTAGTACTCTTTTTGACCTCCATGATGTGGAGTCTGAAAACAGATATAGTGTACTTGAAGACCTAAGCCTAGGCTCACAATCATCTCTCGATTTTGGACATCCTACAGCAGCTTCCTCTCCAACTAAGCCTAAACCAAGATCAGTCATTGGGCCCCGTCCATTACGGATTGTTAATGTTAATTGTCAATCCTTAATTAACAAAAAAGCTCCATTCTATAACCTACTCGACAGCACCAAACCTGATATTATTATTGCAACCGAAACCTGGTTTAACAACAGTATTGGCGATGCCGAGTACTTCAGTTCCCAATACAGTGTGTACAGAAAAGACAGAAACTCCACAGGTGGTGGTGTACTTGTAGCTGTTAATAGTGACTTCATTAGTGTTAGAGAAGAAACCCTTGAAAAAAAAACACTTCGGAGTCAGTCTGGGTTAAAATCAATATTACAGGATGCAAAACTTTATATGTTGCTGGCTATTATCGTGCTAATGTTAAAGACGAAATCACTCTTGATGATCTAGATGACGCATTATCTAAGATTTCGAGTAGAGTCAATAACCTCATACTGGTTGGAGGTGATTTCAACTTACCAGGATGGGATTGGGCAACTAAGACACTTAAGCCAAGAACCCCTTACCTGAACCTCCACAACAAGTTTGGGGAAATATTAGATGATAATGGCCTGACACAATTTGTTGAAGAAACAACAAGACTAAACAATACCCTTGATTTATTCCTAACTAACAGACCTAACCAAATTAATCGAACACAAGTTATACCTGGTATCAGTGACCATAATGCTGTGTATACTGAACTGGAAATCAAGCCAACTCGAAAGAAGCAAATCCCCCGAAGAGTACCTCTATATAAAAAAGCAGGATGGGCAGGACTCCCTCAACATACTGAGAAACTTGCAGAAATCATCGCTAATGCTGAATCTAACTCAACTGTTGACGAGCTATGGAACCTCTTCAGGGATGGCTTGATAGAAGGTATCCAGCTATTTGTCCCCCATAAAACCACGAAGTCCAGAGATTCACATCCATGGATAGACATAGAACTAAAGAGAAAAATTAAGAGAAGAAATCGGGCATTCAAAGCTAGTAAAAAACATGGGAAAGTTAAAGATGAAATAAAGTTTAAAAATTTTAAAAAGACTGTGCAACATGACCTGCGGAAAGCCTATTGGAAATACGTAGAAGATGTTGTCACTCCACAAGCCTCTGACATAAATATTTACAGTGGTATGAAAAGATTTTGGACCTTCATCAAGCATAAGAAATCAGACTTCACTGGTGTTTCGCCAATTAGAGTTGAGGGGAAACTCTTGACAGATGCTAAACAAAAAGCAGATGCTCTCAACCATCAATTTCAGTCAGCCTTTACTAGGGAAACCACCTTTAAAGCTAATCGACCTTCATACCAATTTCCAAATATGCCTGATATAGATGTCTCAACCTCTGGCGTACTCAAATTACTTAAAAATCTGAACCCAAGCAAGGCTTCAGGCCCAGACAACATTAGCCCTGTCTCTTATACACATCTGTGTATAAGAGACAGCTGCATACCTATGTGGTACTTGTAAAGAATCTGTCACCTGGGAAGACAAAGGGATAATGTGCGAAGAATGTGAAACCTGGTATCATATTGACTGCCAAAACATTAATGACGCATCTTACGTTAGACTAGGGGGTTCAAGTGTTGTCTGGACCTGTCTAGTGTGTGATGCACCAAATTTTAGTAGTACTCGTTTTGACCTCCATGATGTGGAGTCTGAAAACAGATATAGTGTACTTGAAGACCTAAGCCTAGGCTCACAATCATCTCTCGATTTTGGACATCCTACAGCAGCTTCCTCTCCAACTAAGCCTAAACCAAGATCAGTCATTGGGCCCCGTCCATTATGGATTGTTAATGTTAATTGTCAATCCTTAATTAACAAAAAAGCTCCATTCTATAACCTACTCGACAGCACCAAACCTGATATTATTATTGCAACCGAAACCTGGTTTAACAACAGTATTGGCG